ATAGTATAGTATAGTATAGTATAGTATAGTATAGTATAGTATAGTATAGTATAGTATAGTATAATATAGTTTAGTATAGTACAGTATAGTGTAATATTGTATAATATATATTGGTATTGTATAGTTTATTGTAGTATGCTATAATGTAGTTACTTTTGTGTAGTCCAGTATAGAATAGTATAATATAGTATGCTATAGTTTAGTATGGTTTAGTATAGCATAATTTTCTAGAGTATTGTATTTTATATTGTTAAATAATAATTGAAATTGTTACATTATACTATTGTAGAGTGGTCTAAAGTTGAAATAAAATGCATTGCCACAACAAGTTCACCAAGTCCTAATGACCCGAACGTAAGCAAGCACACTTCCACACCTACTCAAGCAGGTAAACTTCGAACTTAATAATAATGGCGTTTAAGACACCAATTAAACCTCTTTTCCACCAACCCCGAGGAAGGATGTCTCGGGAACGGTCTCCGTCTGAATGCCGTGGCGAGGCCAAGGGAACCACGCAGCATTACAACCACGTCAACGCAAGCCAAAGTCACCAAGGCTGGCTTAACCTGCAAAAGGTTGATCAGCTGTTCGGCTGTTCGGCTGGTTGGCTGTTCGTCGAGACTGTTCCAGCGGGACTAGGGTTTCGGCACACCACCTCGAAGCGCCTACTCTGTCCCACGTCGACGGAGGCGAGCATTCGCCCTGGCAACTCGAGGTTCGAGAAAGCCAAGTACACCGAGGGCAGAGCAATTCAAGCCCGCCTCCGTACCACAGACACACTTTCAACCAGAGATTCGTTCAAAGCAAGCCGATTTTTACTTTTCCCCTCACTTCGTCAGCATCTCCAAGACAAGCAGACACAGACAGACTCTGTAGAGTAGTAAACAGTTTAATTATTAATCTGGAAACAGGAAAACTGACCCACTTCCCGGACTTGGGAGGACCCAGATTTGGACAAAGAGCATGGAAGCAGCACCGCCAGGCGATTCTCAATTCGGAAACATGCGTATATGCCTCCCAATCGAGCCGCAAACCGGTCGATCGGAGCCATTTGGCCGCCTTCTTCAGCAAAGTCACCGTCCGGAGGACTAAACTTCACATGTTTGCTCATTTCCCCTGAAGCCGCCCTCGCAACTACAACCATAGTAACCAAATTGATTTGATTTCCAGCCCTCTCTCTCTCTTCGTCCTTCCTCATCTGAGCACCGCGTGCTGCTGGATTTCCTGGGCTTCTACGGTAGCCCTCGAGTCAGGACGTCCAAACTGTCTTCAGCAGTACAAGTTCAACTTGTGTCTCTCCTCGAGTGTGCGTGCGTTCGTGCGTTCTTCTCTCTCTCTCTCTCTCTTTATATATATATATATATGTGTGTGTGTGTGTGTGTGTCCAGCTCAAGCTAAATGTGTTATTGGGACACCGTGTCCGCGTGTCTGACATGCAATTCTGGGGCAAATAGGGCTGTACTAGATCCAAATCTGGGACAATCAATGGTCTACAGACAGAGGCGGCTTCAGAGCCAGTTTCTAGCCAGCCTCCCAGTTACAAGACTATTGCCATCCGCAAGTGGACGGTGAAGACGAGCAGGTGAGACAGAAGAGGAGAGGCGTTGCGAAGATGAGACAGAGAGGTTGAGGCCTGTAAGGTGGGATGGAGACTCAGGACGCTACCTTCTCTTGTACTCTCTCAAACTTTGGAATGTTTTTCGTTTTTCGTTGTGAGTAGTTTTTTAAGACTATCAGTAAATCAGATATATGAACTATGTTCTACCTACTTCGGTTAAGGTGATGAAGGACCGGTAGTTGATTTTTCCCTAAATTAAATATGTAGACATTACAGTTACATTAACTTTCACATAGTCATGCTTCCCAAGAGCTATCCTCATTCAGGGTCGAGCCTAAACTAAATAAATTATGTAGTCGATTGTTAAAGCCAACAGGTTTGTTTAATTGACACTCCCACGACAACATGTGATATGGAAAAATGCCCAGCCATTCTTGAAATTTGGATCTGCCCTGTGACGCAAGGGCAGTAGTGGCAATGTGGCGTTGTGGTTAACGTGAGGAGACTATACGAGGCACTGTCATGGTTCGAGTCCCACCGGGGTATGCGAGGTCGAAACTGCAGTGTAGTCTGGATGATAATAGCTTATGGGAGGCAAGGATATGTGCAATTCAATGGAAATGTCATGCCTACTCACATAAGTGTGTAAAATTCAATTACCAGACCTTCATCACCTTAAAAGAAATAGGTTAAGAACAGTTCATGTTTTTTGTTTATAAGTGGGCTTAAGTGACTACCACTAAAAACACAAAAACATTCATACGCATATACACAAGCCCACACGCATACACGTTTTGAGATCGGAATTAATACAATAAGTCACGCTCGTCTATTCAAAAACTGATAGGATTTTAGTATCGATAGCTAGACATAGAGACGAGCGGATGAATATTCTTGACTTGTTAGCTTGAAATAATTATGAAGAGTAACTGAGTTTCGATTAATCTCCCGAGGTAGCATTGTTGTTGAGACTTTCATTTCGTATGAAAATGTATCAAGAAGAGAATCGAACGTCGATCCCACCAGAAGAGGATGGTTTAATCCCATTGTAATGCAGCTGTTTGGCTTTTATACGACGTACAGGTTGATGCAGTACACAAGACCTCCACCCTCGTTTCGAGTGAAAACAGGCTGAATTTTCGTTCATCTCGAGTGAAAGTGTTGGGTGAAGAGATTCGAAGGTCGGTTCCACCAGAAGACGACGGCGGATTCCTCTTG